AAACAGTCCATCATTGACCGCCCTAAGTCCAATTTGGCTTTAATGGAAAAGTCGATAAAGTTGTTATCAACCAGAATGTGGTAAGGTGGGCCCAGGTGTATGTTATATTGAAAGGTTAAGCATGAAGTTGGTTGAGTGACTTTTCTTTCCTTCAGTGCACTAGGATCTTTCCTTTTTGGTTTTAACCTCTTCTAGCCCCCTGAGACTAAGCTTTCACTTCATGGTCACTTGCTTCCTTGTTTCCTTTTGCTTCCTCATGTTCATGCTGCAGATTCTTCCAGAATCTTCTGACTTATTTCACTTAGCATAATTCCCTCAATTTTCATCCAAGTAATTCATAGGACTGGTAGCTATAATCACATAACAACATAACCTGAAAATATATAAAAGAAGATATGGACCAGAATTATTTTTAAAAAATCTATACTGTCCATTCTTACAATATAAATGAACAGTTTAAATTTTTTTAAATAATTCTGATAACCATAAACACAAAGAAGAAAATAGTATTTGAAAAACAAAACAGTAATCAAATGTGTATACACCCCAAGAGAAAGTATTGATACATTATATTATTCTATAAGTTATTTTCAAGTATACATGGTAGTTGTTTAAAAAAATGACTACATACAAGGTTATGAAGAAAAAATCAACAAATTACAAACTGATATCATATGGACCATTTAATATTACTGCAATATATTTTCTCTGTATCTGGACTTGAGGTTAAAAAATCATTAGTACACAGGATTTTATAAATATATACATAGAGCTTATGTTGAGGAAACAGCAGAAAACATTTACTTAGAATCATTTATTTTTCAAATATAAAACACTATCTCTGTTATTGGAAGAGAACATCTGGTCAATTCAATTGCAAAAAGAGACTTCCTTTCAAAATATAAAATACAAACTGTAAATTAGCATGCTGAGCCAATATTTTGATTCTTTTTTCTAGTTAATTATTTGTATCTCCAAAGAGAACAATGGTCACTAGTGAAAAACATTCATGTAAAGTTTAAGGAAATTATTATCAGGTATTTTGATTTCTTTTTTCACATAAGGGTGTATGTCATTTGTGTTTTTTAAAATCACTTTTTGGATGTGCTAAGGACTATTAACGGCAATTGTCAGATAATCACAGATGGGACTTGTGTAAGACAAAAGCATGTTTAGAGGTCAGCGCGAACCAAAATCACCAATAACTTCCAAACTGCCAAGATACAAGGTAGCCACTTCCAACAAAGAAACAAGAATTGTGGCCCACCATCTACAGGAAAAGGAAAAACTCTAGAGAAATTTAAAAGGGCTGACTTAGCACCTAAGTATATTAAAAATTAGAACAAAATATAAGGTGATATTAGAGTCCCTAACTTGAAGGCTATGTAGGGCACATAGGCAATAGATGCCTTAACTGTGTGATTTGCCTGGCACCCACTTCCTGCAGTTCTGATTTGAAGTTGTGTTAGACACAACCCTTGTGTACCTTGTCCCCTGCCTTCTTTCTGGAGGTATTGCCTCCCTCCCAGACCATGCTGCTACCTCCTGGACCAGAGACCTTGCCACTTTTCTAAGGAGGCTAGAATCCTACCTGAAGCCCTGAACCCCTATTCTTCCCCGTGAACCCTAACCATACTGACTCACCCTCTATTCCCAGCATGAATGAAATGTCACACTGTGGGCCATGGGGCCTGGTTTTCTGTGCAGCCACTAAGGGATTGGAAGATACAACCCCGAAGTGCAGGTGACTCTATGCCTGACGAACTGAGCCTTGACTCATGGGACATGGAACTTAGGAGGGAATAGAGCAAGCTAAATTCCCTTTCCTCTGTGCATGTGCTCTGCATTAAGATTTGATTTCTTCTTGAAGTACTGAGTGCTGAGCCCACCTCCCTGCAAACAGCTGCTGAGTCGCCTCCTAGCTCTTTGTGAGGTGGTGCCCAGCACGGTAACACTTTACGGCACTTTCATTCCACTTTTTCTTGTTTCATTTTCCCAGTTTCCTCACCTTTACCATCTTGCACTTGCACTTCCCAAAGTGTCAGCATTTCAAGTCCTGTTGTTGCATTTTGGAGAAACAGTTTTCTAAGAGAGTTATAACAGCAGAGTTCATTTTGGGAGTTATTTTCCTCTCCCCTGCCCTCCCCAGGAGCCCCAATCCACTTGTCATCTGCCCTTGGAGGCTATCAAACTCTGTCAGCAGGGCTCCTGCGCCCTCTGACTATCAGGCCCAGCCAGTGATGTGCCCTGGTAGGAGATTGGAGGGAGAACATATTTATTCTCCTGGCTCCTGCCCAGTGAGAGGTCACCCTGGGCTGGTTGTGTCTCTCAGATGAAGCACACTGGTGGTCTCTCTGACTCACATTGTTTTTGATTTCTGAAATCCGCTTTCTCATCTCATCTTTTGGATCTAGGGGACATAACAGCTTCACACAACTACTCTTAGGTTACATACTGTCCCTGTGGTTCATTTGCACCCTACCCACATCTTTGTTATTAATCTCCTTATAAGACTATTCCAATTTGAATTAGTCCAGTTTGAGAGTGACTGTGGGGCACAGAGTGCTTGAGCCTGTTGGGATCAATAATGAAAAAAGAAAAAGATTAAATTGTAATACGGTTTATCTGTGTTGGACCAGTGTGTAGCCAATACAAAGCAGTTAATGTTAGATAGCAAAAGTCATGTACTTTTTCCTTATCACTTAAAATGTCAGGTAATCGGGCACTGGCAGTAATCAGGGCACTGGCAGGGCATCACCCAAGAGGGACTTTAACAAAGGAAAAGCAGGGAATTTGGGAAAGCAGGTGAAATAAAGGGAATCAATAAGGATGGCAAAGCACCAGGGACAAGAGGGGGTGAAAGACACACCACATCTTTTACTGGTGGGACCAAAGGATGACGAGGAGACAGGAAGTTCAGAGGTGCAACCATCTTTCCAGATTCCTGTCATGGAGGGACACAGAGTCCCAACTCTCCTCCTTCCCCTTCTCTCCACCCCAGCCTTGTGGACAGCAGGTTGGCACTGGGGAAATATATGCCCTGACCATTCTCCCCTCCTACCCACCAATCTTCCCTCTCCAGTCTCAGCTAGTGCCTTCTATTGGCTGAACCCAACCAGAAACTAGAATGAGGTGAACCATAGGTGTCAGTATGCCTGGGTTGGGAAGGGTTTTTGGTTTTGGAAGGTGGGAGGGAAACTGGCAATTAGTTTTATGAAAAGGCATTTATGTATTTAAGTGTAAGAGAAGGTTGAAATAGAAATTTAAAGTAGCTACTTGATGGTAGTAGAATAATTTTTTTTATCTTGTTAGGTATATTTTCTAAATCACAAAGTGGCTATATATTACTTTAAAATTTATCTTGAAAAAAATGTAAATTGGATGAAATGCTTATTTTAATTTTAATTTTTAAAGGAAATGTTTCCTTTTCCTAGTGTTAAGAATTTTACTTTCTGAACTTTCCCAGAAGTAGCATCTCAAAGCACTAGTGTGTTTTAACACTCTTTTGCCAATCAGTGGGAAGAATAATCTAATGTGGGACAAATGTTATCCCATTTGTCACCATATTAGTAGATGTAATCTCATTAATTACTCTGTTTTGTAGCAAAGATGGTCTAATATACCCTGTCAAGCAAAATTTCTTGTCCTAGTGTTAGATGTACAAACCTCAGTGCAGAGGCGTAACCTCAGATAAACACAGCTCCCAAATCCTTTCAATTTATTTCAACTATCAACAAACATGTCTCTCAGAAAACACTTGTTTTCAAAACTACTTTCAGATCCCTTTGATTTCTTGTTCTATTGTTTCATTTCTCATGTTTTCATTAGAACTAAAACACTCTCGAGAAGCAGGGTGGTGTTACGCAGCCAGTATCTACCCAGGGGTTTTCCACCCCACAACCTCTCCTATTCATAGCACTGTCCTCACTCACCATCAGTCACATGGGGAATGGGGAGAGACCAGCTACTTCCTCCTAAGCAATATTTAGTATGTACAGAATGAGATAGCAAATCTTTGGAATGTCATAGACCAGCTGTTGAAGTCAATATTCCTGAAGCAAATTGTTAACCTCTACCAAGGTCTTACCCATTCCCTTGGATGGAAGCAGCAGAGGGAGAAGAGAAGCAGCCCACAGCCCACATGCTGTACAAACTCAGACGTCTGTGTAAACTCAGGCCTCTGAACTTCACTGCCTGCCAGGCTATTTAAATCTACAGATTATGCCAAGAGAGCATTACCTCTTGCCATCTTCTGAAATCTAAACGTTTCTGTGGCATCTGAAAAGCATAGATTACAACTATAAAATCAGTAATTATACTTTTTAAATGGTTTCCTAAACTTAATATTAATTTATGAGCATGAATTAGTACATAGCTTATTAATATTTCATAACTATCCAAGAACAAAGACAGTTTAAAAAAGCACTGCAGATAAGATTTGGTTTATCTTAAAAAAGAAAGAATGCAGTACACATTTGAAACGTTTTAAATAGATTTATATCTGAAAATTCCAATGTAAGTTTAAGACAGCAACAACTTCAGTGAATCATATATTTCAGACCCAATTTCCAAACACTATTTTAATCTGCAGAGTCTATTATTTACAAAGCTCCAACTTCATGAAAATACCCTAAGGAAAAGCTTATCAATTGAAAGGAATCACAACTCTTCTTTAGCTTAGAAAGTTTTCAAAAAATGATACAAATTCCTTAAATTAGCATGACTCTTAAGCCATCAATTACTGCAAATGCAGCTTTCCTGGCATTGTTGGAGTAATGAAGAAAGAATTCTGTTTCTAGAATCAAAGGGCAGACTCCTAAGCTGACAGTGTTTCAGTTGTAAGAACAGCATCCCTTTTCAACACATTGAACAATGTTCCTTTCTTAATATGAATAACAAAGACAACCTCAACATACCAGAAACTGTGACTATAGTTTTAATCTTCATACAAATAATTTCAAAGGTGGGTAATTCCAACATTCTGCTGGTACCACTGGCTGAACTATAATCTTCTCCTGTCATATGAACAGGAACCAATAAGGTTTTTTTATTTGGTCCCAACTGGATCCTTTACTTCCACTACCAGAATTCCATCATGGCAGAAGATGGCAGACAGATCTTTGGTTTCAATGCCATCTGGCAGTTTATACTGTCGGGTAAAACTTCTTGAGATAAAACCATGTTCGTCCATTCTGGTTCCGTGTTGAGCCTTAATCAGCAGCCAGCCCTCAAAGGTCTGAATGATGATATCTTCAGGGAGGAACTGAACCACGTCCAGAAGAATCTGGAAGCGGGATCTGCCTTCTGGGGGAGGCAACTCTGAGGCTGAGTCCACTGGAGAAACCTGGGCCCCCCTGGCTTTCCCCAGGTCCACGGTGGCTGGCCCCGGCAGCGCATATAAAGCATGATCCAGCCTGCAGGCTTCCAAACCTCGAGCTTCAAATTGCTCCTGGTAACGCACTGGAGTCTCGATGTGGTGCCTCAAAATGATTTTTGCCATCGTGGAGGCAGAAACAGCATCAAACAGCTTTCTTTCAGTCAGCGGCCAGCCTCAGCAGTTGCCCACGTAGTAGACTATCAGTTGGAGTGGCTATTTGCTTATAACCCTGCGCAGACGCAACCACTCAACTAGGCCTTGTCTTTTCACACTCGCTGACAATGAACAGCTATTTATAGCACATATTTCGGAGTGCATTTAGCCACAGCCTGCACAAGCTGTCTAGTCAAGGATTACCCTTGTATTCTCAGTTATCTTTGGCAAATGTGTGTGCCTTGCTTGCTTCAAGAGAAAATAGAAAGTTAGAATCAGACAGAATTTGGAAAATATTTGCGTGAATGCACTGTCCTTATGAATTACTGTGATCTAAGAAACTGGTTTCTTAGAACAGATCAGAGCAGTGCACACAAATATGAGCTGAGACTGTATAGATCCTAGTCTTCAAGTGTATAACTGGGGAGTGATGGATCTAGTTGTAACTGATTAGGGATTCAGTTAATACATAATACAATTCAGTTAATATTTGCAAATCTCAAATATTCAACAAACCCTCAGCACTCGATCCTCTATATTTTATTTCATCTTTTAATCCTTTGTCCTTAAGAGACAGCTGAGCCAAATCATCTAGGCCTTTTACATTTGATTCATCAAAAATGAGATGATGACGTGAGATCCGTGCCAGATAGGAGGTGGAGTGTCATAGAATGAGGACACTTAGTAAGGAAAAGGGAGCCACAGGGGAGAAAAAACTTTGAACTACTTGGTATTGAAGCCCAGAAAACAGCCCAGTTACAGCCTAGCTGTAACTCTGCTATTGAACTGACAAAAATAAATTACGTACTATTTCTTAACCATATACTCTTTATATTAAGCTTTCGATGAAAAAGAATGAGACATCCCTTTATCCAGTGCTACAAGATCACCAACGCATATTAAGTAGAAAAGTCCAGAGCAAATATAATATGCTACTATTTGCACTTTTTAAAATAAGTAGTATTTGCTTATATAAATAAATTGCTCTGGGAATAGAAGTTGCCTCCTGAGAGGGTAGCAGGGTAGCCAGGAGGTAGGTGCTGGAGGGATCCTGGCTTTTCAGTATAAACACATTTGTGCTTTTTATTTCTACCATGTATATGTAATATATATACATACAAGAAGGCTTGAAATATAGACTATAGAAAACTTCCTCCCCACAGGTGGTTTCTAGAACTAGTTGACTCTGGAGTACCTTTGCTTTCTTAGAATAGAAGAAAATTTTCTATAAAAAATTAAAATCCAGTTACATGTATCACACTACATTTGATATTTTTTTTCCTCTGAGTTTTATGTGTTTTAATTGACAAACTAATACAATTGAGATTGTATTAGTTTAAGGTATACAACATAATGAATTGATAAATGCATATATTTCAAATTATTAACATAACATGTTTAGTTAACATCCTCATTACATATGGAATAATAATTTTTAAAGATCTACTATCTTACCAACTTTCAAATATACAATACAGCATTGTTAATTATAGCCACCATGCTGCACATTATACCCCCAAAACTTACGTACAAGTTTTGCAAGTTTGTGCCCTTTGACCATATTCAATCATTTTCCCCCAACCACCCCTACCTTTGGCAACCACCAACCTATTCTGTTTCTTTGAGTTTGATTTTTCTAGGTTCCACATTTAAGTAAGATCATATAGTATTTGTCTTTCTTTATCTGACTTATTTTACTTATAACACCCAGTGGGGACAATGTTCTGTTTTGGATTGATAACTGCTTAATGTAAAACATATTTCAAAACATATTCCCTCCCCCACATTTTATATTTCTGATCTTTCATTTTTACATCTCTATATGTGTCCCCAGACTGATTATTGTAGCTACTTTATGTTTGCTTCATAAGTGATTCACCCACTACTTTAACTGTGCATTATCTTTTCTAGTGAGATTTTTTATCTTTCCTGTGTTTTCTTGTTGTTAATTGGTGCCATTTCTTTTCAGTTTAAAAAAATCCGTTTACCGTTTTTATAAGGCCAGTTTAATGTGAGGAATCCCTTTCATTTCTGCTTATGTGGGAAACTTTTAATCTCCCCTTCAATTCTGAATGTTAATCTTGCTTAAGAATTCTTGGTTGGCAATTTTTCCTTTCAGCACTTTGAATATGTTATGGCACTCACTTCTGGCCTAGCTTATATCCTTATGGGTTTCCCTGGTACAAAACAAGTTGCTTTTCTTTGTCTCTTTGAAGATTCTCTTGATCTTTAACATTTGCCATTTTAGTTATAAAGAGTCTTTAAAATATACTCTCCTAGCAAATTTCTAATATGTATATAGTATTGGTGTAGATTTGTGTGGACTACTTTGAGTACCTCTTATTTGGAACTCTCTGGGTTTCTGTACTGGCATGTCTGTTTCCTTCACCAGATTAGGGAAATTTTTAACCATGATTTCCTTGAATAATTTTTCAGAAATTTTCTCTTCTCCTTCTGGAACTCCTATAAGATGAAAATTATTCCTCTTAGTGTTGCCCCAGAGGTCACCTCAGGTAGCTTCACTTTTTCAAAATTCTTTTTTCATTTTTCTGTTCTATTTGATTGAGCTCTATTGCTTTGTCTTTCAGTTCACCTATCCGTTCCTCTGCTTCAATCACTCTGATGTTGGACCTCTCTATTGTATTTTTCACTTCTATTATTATATTCTTCAGCTCTATGACTTCTGTTTGGATTTTTCTTAAATTTTCTAGTTCATTCATTCTTTTTCCAAGTTTGATGAACATCTTTATAACTAATTTTTTAAGATTTATTTATTTATGCATATAAGAACTGGGATACAGGCCAGAGGTATGGAGGGTGAGAGGATTCACCAGAGACAGAGTGGGGAACAGAACAGGCAGATTGCTGAAATATACTGCTGAGGGGAGCAGCGGGCGAGATAGGAGAGGTCTGCTGCATCATGTGGGTTGCTCCCTGGCCTGCCGGGTATCAAACTCGGGGATCGAACTTGGGCTACAGAGGCTGTAGATTGCTTCAAAGTGCTGTGCTAACCCCTTGCACCACCAGAGAGGCCATCTTTATAACTATTACTTAATTCATCACATAGATTGCTTATATCCCTTCCTTTACAGTCTTTTTCAGGGTTTGTGCCTTTTGCTTTCTGTTGGGACAAAGTTCCTCTGTCTCTTCATCTTACCTAACTCTCTGTAGTTGCTTCTGTGTATTACCTCTCATGGTCCCATAGGGATGACCTGTACAGGGGCTGTCCTGTGGTGCCCAGGAACACAGCCCCCTGTGGCACTCTAGGTACACCTGCTGGGTGGGCTCTATCTGCCTTTCTGCTCTGTTTGTATAACACATGTGTGGGGCTGCCATCCTGGCCCAGCTCTGGTGTGGTGGGTAGCACAGTTGAGGGACTTGACTGTGGTACACTGAGTAGATAGTACTATGGGTCTGTGCCAGCCTAGGTGTGCTGCTGCTTTACAGTGAGTGGATGACGTTCATCACCTATCGCACCTGTGGGTGTGGTGTTGACCTGGGTGGTTATGGGCACTGAGCAGTTACCTGCAGTGGAGGTGACATTGGTTATGTCACAAGAGTGGGTGGAACTCTCAGCAGTGCTCACTTGCAGTCTTTAGTATGCTGGGGTGGATTCTAGGATGGTTCTCACCAGCACTGGTATTAGTAGTGTTGCAAGAAAGTGCCAAGAAGGCTCCTGTCAGTGTTTCTATCCTGGAGATCATAACCAAAACTAGCTACCTTTCAGGCAAATGATATAAGACTGGTTTCCCTCCACTTAGGGCTCAGGTACTTTTCAGACCCGTGTGCCATGTTGGATCTGGATGAGTCTGTGCATGGGTCCTTTAAGGTGGGTTCTCTGATCCCTGCAGTTGTTAGATTCTCCTGGGTGTTTTTCCCACTAGTCTTCAATGCTGGGACCTTAAGGGCTCATCTCTGCTGTGCAGAATTGAAAGGTTAGGTTGCATGATGCAGGGCTATTGGGGAAAATTTCACACCTTCCCAGGAAAAAGTTTCACTTCTTCACAATCACTCCCAGTTACAAATCTCCACACCCAGAGTGGGCTGAACAAATTGGTGTCACGTTAAAGTCACCAGCTGCATTAGTCCCTACCAAGAAACTCAGCCTGTCCTTTGAAGCTTTGAAAAGGCAGTGTTTTCTCCTCTCTAGGTAGGAAGGTCCTAGATGGCATCTTCTAATGGAAGACTGTTTTGTCTACATTGAAAATCTGTTGCCAGTGTAGCCACCTTTATCAATTTATCTTAGCTAGATCCTCTGGATATCTTGTTGCAGCTTCTACATCAGCACTGCTGCTTCACCTTGCATTTTTATGTTACAGAGACAGTGTTTTTCCTTAAGCCTCATGAACCAATCTAGGCCAGCTTCACTCTCTCTTCTGCAGCTCTGTCACCACTCTCAGCCTTTGTGCATGTCAAGAGAGTTAGGGCCTTGCTCGGGATTAGGCTTTGGCTTAAGAGAATATTATGGATGCTTAGATCTTCTATCCAGACCACTAAAACTTTCTCTATATCAGCAAAAGTCTGTTTGGCTGTCTTATCGTTCCTGAGTTCACTGGAGTAGCACTTTTCATTTCTTTGAAGAACTTCTCCTTTGCATTCATAACTTGGCTAAGTGCTTTGCACAAGAAACCTACCTTTAGCCTATTTCAGCTTTCGACATGCCTCTTCACTAAGCATAATCATTTTTAGCTTGTGATTAAAGTGGAAGATAATACTTCTCTTCCTTTCACTTAAACTGTTAGAGGCAATTCTAAATTCATTGATTAGTCTAATTTCTATATTGTTGTGTCTCAGGAGATAGGAAGGCGCGCGAGAGAGAGAGAGACAGAGAGATGGGGGAAAGGCAAGTTGGTATAGCAGACAGTGCTATCTATCGGCACTGATAGATTAACTTCACTGTCTTATGGCTTAATGGGTGCAGTTCATGGTGCCCCAAAACAATTATATCAAAGATCACTGATCACAGGTCTCTATAACCTGTATAATAATAAGGGAAAA